GCTTTGAAATTTAAACCTGGGTCTAAGTAATTTCTGGTACAAAATGCTTTCTCTTACATACAAAATATAAAGAAACACTTCTCTTCAAATCATGCTCCCTGTAATGCACATAGGCTATTAATGAAAATGTGTATTAATAGCTCTGTAAAGATTCAAGGGTAAAGGAACAAAAACAATAAGTATTAAGAAATTTGCATGCTAGTATTTTTATGGTCTTAAGCCAATGTTTTCCCTTATGAAGGAAAGCTTAGGCAAATCTGGAATCTTATTCCTTTCTTGTAACTGGGAGTCAACCAAACTTAATCTCAATTCTCAATTTGTGGTTTTAACATCTACCCATTTTGTGCTTAAACATTTTTGTCCCTGGTGATGTTAAATAAGAGATAATGATTTTATATTTCTTTAATGGACTTGCCAACAAAGAATCTAAGAGCAGAAAGATAAATTATATTATACCAAATACAGTAAAATTGTGCTTAATTTTTTTTAATGTACTAATTCTGGTTAGCATTAAACTTTGAATGTGATGTATTTATATTTGTTTTAGGAGAACAGATTGTCCTATATAATCATTGCGTTAGAATGTGTATGGATAAATATAAATAAGTGTAAGCGTTTGCATGACTGGAGATAGAATTGAGGGGGGTGAATTTTTCCTTGGGTTTCCATTTTTCTCTACCTTGGTCAGTGTGGGGGATGGGCACTAATCAAATAATGATTAAAATAAAGTGAAAATACAACTTTTGTAGCTGAGTCCCAGATCTCAGTCCTTGCCCTTCCTCTCCTTATCTATCCATACTCATTTCTTTGATCATCACATCCAGGCTCATTATTTTTAAATGTCACCCATATCTCCAGCTTACAAATCTACCTTGAACTCCAACCCCATATATGTAATTGTATGCTTGACAGTTTTTCTTGACGGTCTGAAAAGCAGCTTAAACTTAGTATGTCCAAAACCAAAATTCAGTCTTCACCATCTCAGTAAGTGGAAACTTCACTTTTTCAGTTATTCACATCAAAAACCCTGTCTTTATTGTCTTCTCTTTTTTACCTACCTAAAGTCTTAGCTGTCTACAAATTCTGTCTTTTGTTTCAAACTGAATATGCTGAATTCAACCTCTTGTTACAACGTGCACTGCTACCACTTTCTTTCCATCATCTTCTTTCACTTAGATTACAGCAATGGCCTCACCAAACTGGTATCCCTTTCTCCATTCTTGACCTTCTGTAGTTTATTCTCAACACAGGAGCCAAAGTAGTCCCTTTATGATATAAATTGGGTCATGTATCACTCTAATCAAACCCTCCAAAGATGTCCTTTCTCACTGTGAATAGAAGTTGAAGTCCTTCACATGATACTACACAATCTTGTCTCTTTTACTTCTCCAACCATGTTCCCTACTATTCTCTCTCCTACCAGTTGCACTCCAGAAACAATGGGCTTCTTGCTGGTCCTTGAAAACCCTGGGCCCATTCTTGTCACAGGTCTTTGTACTTGTTATTCCCTTTTGCAGGTAAGCTGTTACCAAGATATGCACATTGCTTGCTTACTTGCTTCCTTCAGGTCTTACTTCAGATGTTACCTTCTCAGTTAGGCTTTCCCTAACTATTTAAAACTCCACTCTCTTCCTCATCCTCTCACTCCACTGGCACTCATCTCATTTCTCCTTCTTAATTGTACCCATAGTACGTATTACCATGCAACAGTTGTATTAATTTACTTATTTATGACCTCTTTTCACTGGAACATAAATTCTATGGGAGCATGGTGTTTTGTCTTATTTGCTTGAGAATATATTCTAGTTGCCCAGATAAGTGAACAGCACATGATAAATGTATAATATATATTTATTGAATTAATTCATTGATAATTGCTATGAAGAGGTACAAGTTACTTTGAGAGCCTATAATAGCTGAATTGGACATAGTCACAAAAAGTTGGGGAGAATTTCCTTTTAAAAAGTGAAGCTTTAACTAAGTTCTGAAGAAGGAAGAGGTATGATTCAGGTGAGAGATGAAAAAAAAAAACTCTAGGTTTGAAGAACAATGTGAACAAAATGTCCTGGGGTGCGTGGGAAAACTTATCTTGCAAGAGTAGGGACTGGAAGCAAGTTTAAGTGGCCAGAGCATAGAAAGAGAAAAAAAATGACATCTCTTGCTACTCCTCCACTGTTTTTATTTATTTGTGTATTTATTTCAACTAGTTGATTGAGTTCCATGGTGATGGAAAATGTTTCAGGAACCATGTTTTATTCATCTTGATGTTCCCCGTAGCTGGCACATTGAAGATACACAATAATACTAATTGAATAAATAGGAAATTAAATCAATTGCTGGTTTGCCAACACACAAACACACAAAATATCCACAATGCTTCTCTCAACGCTGCTCTGCATGATTACCAGGGGGATAAAGGCCTTTTCTATATGGTCAAAGTATAGAAGCTATGGGTTAAGTCATCTATTAGTGGTTGGATGTGCACTTGAAGCTTAAATATATAAACATCTAGACAGCCCATTAACATATTAATATAGCTAAAATGTTCAAATAATAATTTTCAACAGTCCTGTACATGACTGAAAGTAGGGCATAGTGAACTGAAGTATTAACTCATTAAAGAGCTAAAAAGCTCAAAAGATGCCACGGAGCTTCCCCAAATGTTCTGATTCCCAGAAAATACATATTATAAGATGCTGAGTCATCAAATTCAGTTGCAACTGTACAATGGTGACATAAGCTTTTCTACCAAAGATGTTTAATAACGTACACTGTCCTTAGCTATTGTGGTGCATGATTTAAACCCTGTTGACTAAAACACACACACACACACACATACACAAGTACATACACACACACTGATCTATGTTCACACACATATCAATTTAGTACTAACAAAAAATTATAAATATTTCAAATAAATAAAACCTATAAATAACAAGACAATTAATGGAAAGGTGAGAAAAGTTCTTGAAGAATACAATGAATAAGAATTTCTCAGCTACATGCTTTATGATGGTGTCAAAGTTTAAGTAGTACCATTTAAATGTTCTCTTCCAACCTCCCTTCCAAATCTACAGTTTTCCTGAAGCCATATAATTTTAAATGGAAGGTCACTTTTCAGAAAAGTCATAAGCAGATCATAATTCAAACCAGGCAACCAGATTCACCTACCATCTATCAAAGAGGTTATGAAATTCAGTCTTATATCAAAATTGTTTTGCATGTAGTTTATCATGATAAAACTTTTAAAAGTACTATTCTTGAAAAGAGATCTGCACACTATTTCCAATTTGTGAAATTACAACACCTGTTAACTGGAATAAATTTTGTCATAACATATTTGTGTGCATTGTGCTTATCTCAGATAACATTTTTCTCCATTAAAAGACAAATGAGTAGAAATAAAATGGAGAATAGCTTCTGCATATAATACATATACAAAAACAACTTTTATCAAAATAAACAAACTTGAAAAAAATATATGATTTTGCAGGAACCATATGAAATCATCTGGTTCAATGTCTAAATAAGTGATAGAAAATTTTGCCCCTCCCCTTTTAATTCAAACTATTTTGAAGAATTGTCATTACATATGAACCTCCAAGTATGTGTACCCTTGAAGATTTCAGGAACTATCATGTATAAAAATGTA